TGGCATTAACAGTGACCCCGTTGATGTGAGAGAGTGAGTGTGTGTGTGTGTGTGTGTGTGCGTGTGTTGTAACTGCGACTACTACTATTGCAGCATAACAAAAACAAAGTTTGCATCTAACGCTCCTGATCTTACTCGGGATCCAGCAAGGAATTTTAGAGCTAAAAATGCAAGCTGAAGCTTAAAGCGGCAACACACACACACACACACACACACACACGTACATTTGTATATTTTTTATATATGTGTGTGTATGTGTGCTTGCTACGTGCCACATTACGGGGCAGGCGAGTGAGTCAGCAACTGAGCGAGTGAGTGAATGAGTTGCCGGCCTCGGTTTTAGCCTCAGCAGCAATATATTTTTGTATATTTTCGGCAATGGCAGCAGTGCAGGCAGGCAGGCAGGCAGGCAGTAGAAACAGAAGAACAGGAGCAGTGGCAGTGGCAGTGGCCGTGGCACCAACAGTAGCAGTAGCTGTAGCTGTAGCAGTACCAGTGGCGGTAACAGACAGCAGACGGGAGGCACTAAAGTGGCAGGCAGCAGCAGCACTAAAGCAAATCATTGCTGAAATTTTTGCTTCAATTTCATTTCATTTACGTTACCCTGCATAGTAGTGAGTGCAGAGTGGAGAGTGGAGAGTGGCGGGCAGGGTATGGGAAGGCGGGGGAGGTGAATGGCTAGATGAATTTTCACAAAACGTTTGCCTGAGTTTCAATATTTGTTGCTACCGTCCACTGTTATCGATTTCTCATGCATTCAATGAGCGCCAGTTACAGTGTAAATGAAAAGTGCACAGCATTTAATGCATTTCTCTTCTTACATACTTGTAGGCATACACAAATTATATACATATGTACATATATTACAAATATAGCAGACTACCTGTTCGCTTCCCAGACCATCTACAAGTATTGTGCTCGTCTGTCCTTTTATGCACTCAAAATTAATTTATTAAGCGCCTGCAAACGGACAAAGGCTCAAACAGGTAAACAGGCAAACAACTTGACCGTGCACGCTACTCTGTTGATTTCCCACATGAGCGCTGCAGCTGCGCCACCTGGCGAGCAAACAAAACCGAAAAACCACATAGATATGGTGAAATGCTTCTTCTGTCGCCCCAAACTTCGAATACCCTGACTTTTCACACTCGAAATTATGTTTAAGTCATTGCGTTAGAAAGATGGCCAAAAACGAATTTCCATAATTAAAAATGATATTTCTTAGTTCTATTTTAGAAGTATATGATTTATTTTGCAATTATAAACTTAATACAAATGAGAAGCCAGTTAATAATAATTCAGAAGATACATTTTCATAAATCACACAACATATATAGACATGTACTTATAGCATGCATACATGTATATGTGCACACCATTATATACAAAAATGTACATATTCAATAGCTGAATTTTGAATTTTATATCATAAGCGTTATATTACTATAAAAATGCAACAGAGGAGTATTGAGATAAAATTGATATATAGAGTTTATTTGTCTTTAATTTATATTTACATAACATATTTATTTTCTCGCTGATGTCAATTGGGATTGCATATATAGATTAGATATATTTTATAGTATGAATATAAAAATGATTGATAAAGTATTGGTAAAAAAAATGTGGGTTTGATTGTTGTACATGAGCTCTACTAAAGAGATAGGTTACAACACGCATAGCCCTTCAAGTGGAATGATATATGCAACACGATTTCAATCTATAATAACCTAAGTTGTGAACAAACTTAATTGAAAGCAATTTCATTAAAATGAAAGCAGTTTCTTTCTTTATTATAAAATGTTGGCATATTTGAAATGAATTTCGAGTGAGAGACAAAACTTATCCCAGTTGAAATAAAATATACAACATTTTGAGTCGGAATAAAAAATGGGAACCGAAAAATCAGCAAGGTCCTTGCTGATTATTGGTTATTAAAACTATTCTTAATTAATATTAATAGTACATACTATAGTATAACCTTCTGAATATTTTATTATTAGGCGTGTGTTGGCACTGAAAGATCACTTCTCAGATATTCGAAAAACTAAATTGAATACCCTTCTTTGATGAGTTAAAGGCATCAACCCAATGGTACCTTTCGTTAGGGTATTAATAAATATAAAAAAAAGCAGATAAAGTGGGGGCAGAGACAGAGCCAGAGACAGAGGCAGCGACGTTGAAGCTGACGCTGCTTCATTGGACGCTTACGGCTGATTTATCGTCCATAAAATTTATGTTTAGTTTAATCTAAAGGCACACAAACAAAGCGCACTAAGCACTGCAACGTGCGCCAGCAGATAGTCCTCCAAAGTGCCGAGAGTCCTTATCAAACAAAAGTAGAAGAAGACGATGCAGACGAAGACGAAGACGAAGACGGAAAAGGTAACGCGTCTTCTTGCACGGCCCAAAGTTTACTTAACAGTGCCCGTGTCCGTACCCGTACCCGAGCCCCTAGCAGTGGCAGTGGCAGTCCCTGTGGCAGTGGCAGTAGCAGAAGCTGTAGCAAAGGTAAAAGCAGCAGTTGCAGTGGCAGTGCAACGGCGACCATTCCAGACCAACTCCAGACGCGTCTTCAATGCTGTTGCCTGTTTTATTTCTTGATCTGCCTGCCCGCAAGCAACGTCCGAGAGGAGACGGCAGAAGGGACGCAAACGCAACTATTGCAAAATTTCAACGTGAATTTATTGCATGAAATTTTTTTTGCATTTTTGTTGCATTTTTTTCGTTTTATTTTTATGTTTTTTTTATTGTATGCTGGTGCTACTACTGCTCGCTGAAATTGTGCGGCCGTTGGCCAACGCGAGCCGTCTTTAAAAGCAGTCAAGTCAGCCGGATCCGTTTCGTTGCATACTTTGAGGCGCCTGGCCAACGCGTTCGGTAAATGGCGTTTTGAATAAATGTTTAGTAGTTGCAATTTTTCTGCTTTGCCAAGTTTAAGAGCGAAACACAGAGACAGACATGCGGGCAGAACGGCAGACAGGCAGGCAGGCAGGCAGGCAGACAGAGAGTGGTAGTGGGAGAGACAAGTGAGTTTTTTAATGCGTTTCAAAAGTTGAAATTACAGGTTGCAAGAGTTGAAGTAGTAGTTGCAGTTTCCACATTTTTTAATGTTGCACTTGAAGTAGTTCGTGGAACTAATAATTTTATGCGTATAACTGGCAATCATATGTCAAACTATCAAAATGTTTACGCGCTGCATAATAAAAGGACTAAACTTTGTAGTCAGCATCAACAGGACTGCTAACTATTTATACATCTCGGATTATCCGTCCGTCGACTTGCGACATAAACATACAAAAATACATATAAATAAATTACTTTTGCTTGCGTAGCCTATTTGTTATATTTATTATGTTTTATATAAATACACTGCGAACAAAATATTTTGAAAGCGTCTCATCATACTAGCATTCCACAGCTTTTCAATGGAATATTTAAACGATGAAGGTGTGTGTGAAGCTTAAAAATCTATCGAAATTATATATTTCTTACAAATATGAGTTTAAATTAAGTATAGCTTAGTTTGAAATTGCTTAACTATTCTAAATCAATGATAATCAATTCTAAAATAATCCACTATATTTAGTTTCTGCAGTTGAAAGTTAACATTAAGGATGGTTTGGAAAATACTTGTACTTTTGAATCTGTTTCTGTTTGTAAGTGTACATTTGTTTTCTGTATTACAATAAGAAAATACTTATCCTTATAAATATTGTTCAGTTCTTTCCCTCAATTATTTAGCATACTTCCATTTTTAAAATAAACAAGCCACATTTTTGCATTTTCTGAATAGCAACTTGTTTGTGAGTCCTTGGAATTAACTGACCTGAACCCCTGTTTGTATATCAATGTTTTTTAAAAATATATACAAGTATTTCTGCCACTGTATAATTCGTTACTGTTCTCTTTCTTCGGTGTACACTTAGATACAATCGCAACTGCATTGTTGCAGGTCTTAGGCAGCACAGAAGCTGCAACTTTATTTTTGTGCAATTACTTTTTATTTGGGCAAGAAACTAAAAAGGCGCGTAAAGTAGCCTCGATTAATGTGCAAAGTTTTTGGTAATTTTTTCCGTTTCTTTTTTTTGTTTTTGTTTGTTTTGCTTTTGTAGCAGTTTTCCTTCTGTAGCTGCTTGTCGCGAGCTTTTTATTTATTTATTTTTTTGTATATGTGTATGTTGTTGCAAGTGGAAATGGAAGTGGAAGTGCATCTGAAGAGTCCAAGTGCAAGTGCAAGTGCAAGTGGAACTGCTCTAATTAATGTGAAATTTATGGACTTGAAGATTGTGGCAGACAACAATTTAGTGTGCAGCGGACCATGCGCGCAGATGCAGTGCACAGATAAGCACAATGTATGCACACACACACACACACACACACACACACACACACACACACACAGAGCGAGAGAGAGAGAGATAGACATACACCTGCAGGTGCACAAACTTATCAATGCGCTCAACTTGTTTGACACAACACAAAGGACTTGACATGAAGGCGCTGTTGTTCTTGTTCTTGTTTTTGTTGCTGTTCCTGTCAACACACAAGTTATGCAAGCGCGTGTCACGCTCTTGCATTTGCATATGACCGCGCCGTTGACATCGTTTGCCCCAACCTACCAAAACTCTCAACCTACTCGACACTGACCCCAAAAAGCAACCTCCAGCCCCAAGCTAGCAGCCTTCAGCCTTCAGTCTTCAACCAGCAGCCAGCAGCCATCAGCCACCATTCCGCAAACATTTTGTATGTGTAATTTCAATTTAGGACTCCATCAATGCGCAGTTAAGACGCCGCGGGCACTAAATCAAAGTCAACACCTCCCAAGCACGCGCTTTCCTTTCTTCTCCTTCTTGTACTTTCTGTTTTCATTTTCATTTTTTCCCCATTTTTTTCTGTTTTTTTGCTTTTAATTTCAACAAATTTTCGCCACTTGACGCCTGCAAAACACCCCACCCCCCTTACAGAGCTACAGCCCTACAGCCCCGTACGCTACTTACCTTGCATTCTCGCTAAGAGCAACAGAAATGTGCAACAAAGCGCCTGCAGCAGCTCCATATTTCATCAGCTTGAGTTATGCAACTTGCTTCTGGATAATGTCAGTGCAGCAGCAGGAGCAGCAGCGGCAGCTTCAGCAGGTGGAGGCCGTTGGAGAGTGACGAGGTGGGGCACGGGCGCGTCGAGTTCTAACAGCTATGCAGCCGTGACGCTGCCACACATTGTGCCGCGTCACTTGCCGCGCTCAGTGGAGCAAAATTTAAAAGGCGCCTGGCATTTTGCGCTGACGTGCCACGTGGCGTATGCGTAATTGCGTTCGAGCTGCAATAAAAGAACAGAGCAGAATTGTGAAAGACAGTGAAGGTAAGGCGGAGAATTAGAAGGAGAGAGTATGTATATATTTATATACTTGTGTGTGTGCGTGTGTGGGAGAAAAACATAGAGCACAAACTTAAATTAATTAAAACTATTAGTTTATATTAGAAATGTGCACGCTGGCCAGAACATGAACAGGCGACTTCGACTTTCAACGCGCCCTGGGCTTGGCATAAATAGAAAAATTACGTCAGAGTCGAGCGTCAGGGCAGTCAGTTTTGTGGCGTGGAAGGGGAATGCACTTTGCCGTGCAACGCTACAAATGCTATTAACAGTAGTATTACGAGGGCACGGCGCTAGCCGAGAGTCCGACACACTCACACATGGGCATAACAATGGCCCAGACAGCCAGCGAGTGCCTGACCTTCTGCCTGCTAGTAGCACCAACAACACAGCAACAACAACTACAACATCTTGACTGTAATCGTAGCACAGTAGCAACGTCAACTTGAAAGTTTATGGCAACAAACGTCAGCCATAAACATTTTTATAGCGCTGCAAGAAGCACGCGGCATGGCCGCCAGCCAAATGATGCGTGGTATGAGCGCGCATGGGATGATGAAGAGAGGTGGTGAGGAGGTGCTGAGGAGGTGGTGTCCACTGATGTCTGGTGGTGTGGGGAGGAGGAAATTATAGAATGCGCGAGCAGAGAAGCACAAGAAAAGGCATAAACCACAAGGAAAATGAATTGTGTTTTCACTTTTTGTAATTAGCTTGCACTAAAGCGGCAGCGCTTGGTAAAGTCGTCAAGCAGTTGCTGCCGTGGGCGAACGGCGAGCAATTGTGTATCGGGGACAGCAGGCAGGAGGGTGAAGCAGGCGAGGAACTAGCCCTGCACTTTTGCATGAATGCTTTTGCTAAAGTTTCAAAAGTATTTCCAATTTTTTGCAGACCAAAGACATTCACCAAAGCCCCAAGCAGTTCAGAAATTGTAAAACAAAAAAATGATAGTGAGGGAACCGGTTTTAATTACTTACCTTTTCATGTAACTAACTATGGACTTGGGGAAAACAGTTCATACACAATAGCATGTCGGACTTTATACTATTAATCAATACTTATTATAAGTACTACTACAGGAGCTGTAATTAAAAGTCTAGCCATCCGCTTGCACTTTATTCAACAATACGAAAAGCTCTCTTTCCAAACACCAAACAATAATTTTTTCCAGCTGTAATTGATAGCTATATAAAATCAATTTAGTTTGATCAGCAATTCACAAAATATTTAAGAAAGTTTGAGAATACAATTTTCTTCAATTTGATTTACATAAGAATGTGCCCCAATTTAAATGTTACCTCTGCACTTATCTAAAAAGCATTCTAATAGTATAGTATATTAGTATTTTTGTAGTTTGGTTAAATGTTACACATGAACGATTTTATGGAGAAACACAAAACAGAAGAAGAGTGATCCTCTCCTGCATTTTGTGAGCGTAGTTCTGGAGTGAAAATGTTGCCGGGATGTTATGGGAGACTTCCATACCCAGTTTGGCGAATGTGGACTTAATCGTTTCTGAAATGCAAGCGTTCATCCAGACAGACGCACAGACGGGCATGATTATATCGCGATTCGTCTCATCATGCTGTTTAGGAATACATATACTTTATGGGGTCGAAGATGCTGCCTTCTCCCCGTTACATATTTCGCACAAGCCTAATGTACCCTTTTACCCTTCGGGTAGAGGGTATAAAGAGAACACATGTTACGTTCAGTTTCGTTTTGGTTTCGTTATTGCAAGCCACCTACGATACTCGTTTAAGTATCTTTGATGTTTAATACGTGTTCTTTCAACGTGGTTAATAGCTTTCATAAAGTGGCCACTTTAGAGGCTTAAATTGAGATTTTGATTCTGATTCAAATTCTGATTCTTACCGCTGTTAGCATTCTCCCTCAAGTTGACCGCCCGCTGTTGGTGGCTTGTGGTCTTGGTCTGGTTCTTGTTCTTGTTCTTGTAGTCGCTGTGCTTAAGAATGCAACCCTGTCTAATCAGTTTCACAGCAGGCAGCTTGTTGGCAACAAGCCGTGCACCTCATAAACTGTAAGTCGTAGCGCATGGCAATGAATTTTGAGAATAAGGCAACGCGTAAACAATGCAAGTCGTCCTGTTTATGGACGCAATGTGGGGTAGATGACGAAGTCAAGAGACCGCCGGCATTTGTTGAGACTATATATAAATATACACACATTTCATATACTTATATGTGAGTGTATGTTTGGTTAGAAAGAGGCATGGAAATTTTCAATTACGCTCATGACATGACATAAAATGTAAATTAAGGCAAATGTCTAAAAGTCAGAATAAACGGGCCAGTTGGCGTTTGGGTCCGCGTCCGCGTCCGCGTTCACGTTCGCATCGCCCCCATTCGGCTGGGTTCGGTTGGCTGGGACCGGGTGCTGTGGCATGGAGCATAGAGCACGGAGCATGGGGCATGGGACGAGAATGTAACGCTTGATTTGCTCTGACATAAGTGGCGGCGACTTTGCGCTTTTCTGTTTCGGTCCTTCTTTCTTTGCGCCGCCTACAAAGCTATTTTTGCTGTTGGTCTCATTATATTCTACTTACAACAATAACGAAGCATTGCAGCAGCAGGAGCAGCAGCAGTAACGACACTGGCAGCAGTAGCGGTGAGTGCATGTTAAGTGCCTTATTATCCTGTTTATGTAACCATGCAGTTGTCAAAGGACAACACACGCTGCCAGCCTGCTCGCCTATTTCGTACACATGTAGTTGTACACACATATATATAAATGTGTGTATTCTATTGCTATTGTTGCTGCTGCTGTTGTTGCTGCTGTTGTTGTTGTTGTTGTTATTTCATCAGAACATGTCCATGGCCAAAGTGTTCGCCACTTCATGTTTTATTCAGCTCTAGTTTACAAATTGTCGAAACGGCCTTTGGCCAAATGGACGTATGCGCAATATTTTGAATACAAATAACTTAAAGTAGACAAATAAGCGTTTGCCCGCAGCCGCAAAAGAAACAACAACCACAACAGTCAAAAATAAAAATAAAAACAAAATAAGAGCAGGACACAATGAAATGCAACAACTTGGACAAATCGCTCAATTTGCTGTCAACGCTTTGGCATTGGCCAGAACTTGTTGAGCAGAAATATCAGCAGCAGCAACAGCAGCAACAGCAACTCAATGGAATGCCCCAGTTCAAAAGGTTAGCAGTGTTTGTTGCTGTTATTGCTATTGTTGCCGTTGCCATTGCTATTGCCGTTGCTGTTGCTGTTGCCGTTGCCTCTATGCTGCCATAGTTATTGTTATTTGAATGGTTTGGCTTGAATAAATAATGCTCTTGATTGCTTTTTGTGTGTAAATTTCTATTTATTGCAAACGAACTTTTCGAAGGTGCAGAGAGCAGCTCCTACCAAACGGCGATAGCGTCTATTAATTTGTTATTGTTTCACTTTCATTGTGCTTGCCAAGTTTATTTTCAGCGTTGAATAAAAAAATAAGCCATTTCATTCGGATGGGTGGCTATTTCTCTCAAAAAAGAACATTTTATAAACGAACGAATAATCGTGCTTGTAATAAACATTCTTTGAAAATATAATAATAGTAAAGTTGCAGGAATTCCAATGGCCTCAATATCTGCCACATTTCAATTATGACGTAGTACGTAATGTAATATTTCCCAAGATACATATATTTTGTTTTTCGATATTTTCGAAAGTATAGGAAAACTTGCAACCTATTTAAAAGCAGGACGATAACAACTACTTATTCTGTGAAAGTTGAAACAGAAGAACGAAAACTGAAATACTCCTCTAAACTACGGGTATAACCCAATCAATAGCTTTGTCAAGTAACACGATAACCCTCAGTTCTCACAGTTACACATAAGATCTCTCCAGAAATGTTTGGAAGATTTTGAAGCGAGCCATTATTCTTAACATTATGTTTAATTGTTTTTACTTTTTATTTATTTCCGTTTTATCCTTCGGGGACCTCCGGGAGCTGTTGCATTTCGTTAGGTTTTTATTTGAATGTGAACACAAAAAGGCGACACTTATGTACTTTTTGTTTTTAATTTGTAAGTATATACATAGAGTACGGGCCTTCAACCAAAATATGCCATAGCTACAACAGAAAACAGCATCCAGAAAGCCCACACATTTTTGGCAAGCATTGTTGCTGACCTCCTTTTTATTGCATTACGCGCTTTAAGAGTGGTTCTATCGATACCTTTGAAGTTTTGAAAAATTGCTAATTATATGTGTAATCGATTGTTCATCAAAAGAGGTTTTACCGCGAACAGGACAAAGCAGGACAAAGAAATGAAATGGAAATTGCTTTAAATCCATTTATATATGAAATCAAAACAGAAAGGCGGTGCAACGCGACAGTAATTACATATGTAGATTTCATATATTCAGCAAACAAGCAACCCAATAAATTGCCACTTTTTGCACTTCTGTATTATCAGCAAATTAATTGATATGCATACTGACCATAAACTGTAGTACATATGTATGTGTAAATGGAAAGTTGTAGGTATATCATGATTCCGACATCAAAGAGCGAATTAAACTTTTCACAAAAACGCACTTTGTTCATTTTGATATATGTATGTAAGCGTATGTGGAGGTGTGGAACAAGCCATGTAGCCGTGTATGTCCATCCATCTGTTTCTTTACAAACAATAGGCTCCAGCAGTCTACATGGTAGAATGGAGAAGCTTCGGCCTGTCACGAAACTGCCTGTCTTTAATAACCGAAATCTGTTG